TGATGTGGAAGTCTGGTTTGGGGACTTTTTTCCATGTCTTCTCTTTTCAACAGATGTAATTCACTGTGCCTTTGCTGAGGTGACTTTTTGCTCACCCAGTTGTCTTCAATTCTCAGCAAGCCACCAAGAGGCCTTCTCTCTACTTCTCACCAGTACACCAATTCCTGGATTCAGAATGGTGGCTTTTTGCATCCCTGAGCTCACTTGTTGTCTGGGCAGGCTTCTGGCTTGGATCTGAGGATACTTGGGATGGTATCTAACTGTGCTGGGACCTCTGTGTACCTGTTGTCTGAGGGGGCCTTTGGCTGAGGGCTGTGCTCCCCAGTTCCTGATATCTGAGCAGACTTCTTGCTGGGGTCTGTGCCAGAGAAAGTATATAGGTTGGCTTCTGATTAGAGCTTATGTGCCTGTGCAGCTCTTTCCTGGGTGGGCCTTTGGCTGGATGAGTGTGCCAGAACCTCTGGGTTCAGGGCAGATCCCTGGCTGGGATCTGCCTGCAGCTGTGCTGGTCTGGACCACACCCACTGCACACACTCACCCACTCACAAATGCTGTGGGGTGGGCCTCTGACTGGAGCTTGTGTGCCTGTGCAGCTCTTTCCTGGGTGGGCCTTGGCTGGGTGGGTTTGCCCGGCCTCTGGGCCCACTAGTCTGGACTACATGGCTGCTTCCCAGGATTTGTGCACACTCACCAATGCTTTGGGGTCGGCCTCTGACTTTTCCTTTTATCTTGAAGTCATCTATTTAGACACAATACTGCACTTAATTTCTTTTAACAACCATTCTGATCTTTAAAACCTCTGAAAGTCTTTGTTTTAATAATTCTCTTAGCTAGAATATTATTTCTCATTTAATGACTCAATAAATGTAATTTGGAATTTCTTTTCCTGTAGTTATATGGGTAAAACATATGTTTTTGAAGCTCATAAAGCCTTATCCATTATGTTTTCCTTTATGTTGCTTTTCAGGTTCTCAGCATTAGAAATACAGTAGAGGATGGTTGCTAGCAGTGAAATCTCTGGTGTTAGCCTATGTTCAAATCTGCATTCTATTATTTACTAGCTATGCGGTACTGAACAAATAACCTCACCTCTTTTAACCTCAGATTTCTCATCTATAGACTGGGAATAATAATATCTTTTTATTATTTATGCTACTATAAGTTAGGTATTAAAAGAAATAATGCACATACACCATTTAAAAGAGTGTCTGACACACAAAAGGTGTTAACTTCTGCTATCTCTGTTTTACAGTGTTTCCTCCTAAATTGAAGTGCCATATCACACTTATTTTCAGCATTACCATAATCACAACCACTTAATAAAAGATTGGATTATATTGTTGCAAGATACAAAATTTTTAAATTCTAATTTTGAGTGTTAAAGTAGCAGATTGATCATGTGGATCACTTAGTCTAGTGTACAAGCACAACAGCATGGTTTAAGAACAGGGCTGGAGCAAATGTGGTGGTGCATGCCTATAATTCCAGTATTTGGGGAGGCTGATTCAGGAGGATTACAACTGTGAGCCCAGCATAGGCAGTTTAGCAACTTATCAAGACCTTGTTTGAAAAAAGAAAAGAGAGGTGTCTGGTGATGTAGTCCATGCAGAGGCCCTAGATTCAATCCTCAGTGTTGGAAAAACAAAAGAATAGGGCTAGAGATGTAGCATAGTGGTAGCATTTGCCTAGCATGTGTAAGAGATCCTGTGTTCAATCCCCAGCACCATTAAATAACAAAGACCACCAGCTATTTTAGTTTTCCCCCTCATTGGATACACATATATATATATAAATTTTTTACCTACCAGCTACCATATCAGAATATATCAAGCCTCTTTTTTTTTTCTGTCTGTTCAGGACACTATATTTATAGGACACTCTAGAAAAAGGCAAGGAGAAGACAGGAAAAAAAGATCCTCTTCCTCTACAAGGATAGCTACTCTGTAGTTTGTTGGGATATGGTTGTGATTGTTGCTGCTGCTGCTGTTGCTGCTGCTGCTTGCTTGGGATCCTAGAAGAAGGTTGTCTATACCCATGTGGCTATGGCTTTGTCTGCTTTTCTTCAGAGCCAATCATAATTTAAATGCTACCATAGTTATTTTAGATCTTTACTTTAAGTCTTTCTTTTTAGTTATACAGTACAGTTACATTCATTATTGGGATCTTGTGCCTTTACATGACAGGTCTTAGTTCTCATTTTTTCCCCTTGTCCCTACCCTCTACTTTAAGTCTTTTAAGTAATAGATTCAAACTCTATTGCAACAGGGGTTGGGTTTGTGCTGTGACCTTTTCACCCCATTTCTGTGAACCATTCAAAAAATAAGGCTAACTAGGCTTTGGGTGGTGCTAGTCTGGCTGTTCTGTCTTCTTTTATGCATAGTCCCTCTTTACTGACTATTCCTCCCAGTGTTCTTGCTTTATGATTTTCTGGAAAGCACCATCTCTCTCCACAGTAGTTCAATCCACTCATTTATTTAACAGATGTTTATTTTAGGTGTCTGCCACATGCCTAATACTCTTGTGACCATTAGAGATAAACAGCCAATAAAAGCAATTGAATTCCTTCTTGTGTATTACAAATTTTGTGACATTTGCCAATTTTGTAGATGATGCCTGCCTAATTTTTGCTGGCTCTTCAGATATGTAGAGTTAGGTGTTTCTTCAGGATTGACTCTGACTTGTTCTGTCACATGGCTGTAAAAACAAAACAAGCCATCAAGGATTATATATTAAATTAAGTTAGAAATGAAAACTAATGTTGCCATTTACTGTATGTCAGCAGTACATTACAGAATCCTGTTTTGAATTTATAGACAGCAGATGATTCACTGTACTGGAAGAGGTTGCCAGGTATGTGTTACGCACCTTAAATGATGTGAATAGACTGAACAGATGGGTATAGAATCCTAAACTCTTAAAATTACAGTAGTGTTGTACCTTATACTCTTTTATTTAAAAAAAAAGAATTTAGGGAGTGGCTAGTAGATTTTTAGGGGAGATTTTTTATACAATATAATTTCTGTGATTTTCCTAGAGCATTATTAAAATATTCATCCCAAAAGTTAGACATACCCTGTGGGCTGTAGTCAAGGCAACTATTGGACAAGGCTATCTTTTTCCCAAAACCTTGAAGTAAATTGTATAAATAACAACAACCAAAATCATCAAGGCATTGAGGCATAGTGCATAATTTATTGCTGTTGGAAGGAATTCCAAAGTGACAATTTTAAATAGGGCTGTTTCTGAGCCTATATTGATTTCTTTCTGGGTCTTTGATGTAAAAAGACATTTTCAGAAGCTGTTTACTGCTAATGAAATTTGGTATTTGAAAATAAGATATACCAGAGCTCCTATTTCATAAAAGATGACTTCATCCTTGATATGTGCTATACTAAACATTGTAATCTCAAGTGCAAACACAACAGAAGTGACAGCTTTTAGGGGCCACTACTGCCTTACTGACCTCTCCATACTTAAGAAGGCCACTGTTAGTCATCTGCTTTTCCTTTCCTTGTCACTATGTCAAAAGGGATAGAGTCAAAACTATGGCACACCTCATATGAAAGATTACTGAACTGTGATATGAATTTCTGATGTTAAAGGAGAGGCACTTATCTGGACTCTGAATGATGAATTAGGAAAAAAAAAACTTTTTAGCTTCCAGTGATTGTATTTCATTTGCTTTGCTTTTTAACTATGCCCATTCATGGTGATAAGATATACGCTATTTGTATCTTCTTCCTGGATTTGGATGGTTTCTCAGTTGCTTCATTAAATTTATTGCATAGGAGAAGGTTTCCTGAAATATTTAAGCTATGGGTGTTTTATTAAGTTACAACTCTTCCATTTTTGGAAATTAGGTATTAAGAGTTTGATATACTGTTCTTTTGAAAGGAAAAATTAATGTTTTTCTACCTTTGTAAGAAGAAGTTATCAAATAATAACTATTCTTTGCTTGTTTTCTTTTTCCAACCTGGCAGAGCACAACATAAAAATAATGTTTTCTCTAAAGGCAAATTTATTTGCATTAAAGTATTACTTTTTGGCATATCCATTGTTAGACTAATTTTATTAGAGTCTGATTAACAAGTGACAACTCTACTTGATATATTTTCAGAATAATTCAGAAGGACAAAAAAACCAGAGGTTTGAAAATAAATTATTTTCCTTTATGAGTTTAGGTATACTTTTAAAAACAATATATCATTTTATAGCTAAGTGGATGCACATTGAGGCCATACTCTTAAATGAAATTAATAGGACACACATAGGTAAATACTGGATAGTTTCTCTGGTATGAAAAACTAAAAGTGTAAATAAGGATCAAAATGTATAATCGATATTGTTTAATAGGAAGAAAAGGTCTAAAGGAGTAGGGGAAGAGAGAGGGGTAGGGGAAAGGTAAGAAAGGAATAAAGAGAAAAGCAAAAAAAAAAAGAGGGAAAGAAACAAAGTCTTTGTAAATAGGGAAGGGGGAAGGGGGGCAAAGGGAGGGCAGGGAAATGGGGAAAAAAATAAGAACCAATATACATCAGGTGAAGGTACAAGATCCCAATGATGAACGTAACTGTATTGTATACCTAAAATGTACCAATAAACTTAATAGAAAAAAATGTCAAAATTGGTAACACAGAAGAAGGAATGACCAAGTTCTGTCATTGCATTGAATAGAGCAACCCTCTTTTCCGTGTCCTCTGTACCCCGCAGGAATGTTAGCTGTAATTTATATATGTGTTTGAGCCAGGAGCACTATGTAATACAAAAAAACTTTAGTATCACTTTAAACTTCAGAGAAATAATTTTTTTTCACAACAAAGGCAGCTCTGTGCATGGCCTTCAGTTGGCTGCTTGGAAAATGACTGTAGTCAACAACTGCTATGGTAATATGGATGTTCATGTTAATTTTCCAAGTTGTGAAACAACATACTCATTGTTAAAGGATAGAAACACGTGAGAGATTAGCAGTGAGCAACTCTACAAACAACTAATTAAAGGAAACTTGGTCCATTTAAGAAGGGAAGAGTTGTGCAGTCGTTTCTCTTACTAAATAGTTTATTGCCTGTGCTACTTAGAAAAGCTGGAGGAGAGGGCAAAATATATCTAGCAGATACTATTTTGGGTCTAGTGGGAAAGAAAATAATATAGAAAAGAATCTTGGCTGAAAAGATGAACCCTGCATATGACTGTTAAAAGAGCTACATCTGCAAGGTATGAAGCTATATTGAATTTATTAGTGTTCTTAATAGAATACAAATAAAAATGAGTATTAGTAACCAACAACTTTGATATAAGTTCGAACTAAGGGTTACATAAATTTAATGTTTTAATAGTCAGGAGTGTAACAAAGACTAGAAGGGCATATTTTGTCGCAGATATTTTACTTTTTATGTTATCTTAATATTGAAAAAAAATGCATTTTGTTTGAATTCCAGTCAAGAGCAATACTTATTTGTATAGGCTTTGTTAAAATTTAATATATTATGCTGATTGTTGAGGTCTTTTTAAATAAAAAGCCAGTAAAATATTCTTACTGTTTTCTTGTTTCTAAGGCTTCCTAACATCCTGGTTCCAACTTAGAATCCACTTGCTTCTTTGAGTTTCTTGCTTTCCCTCTCTAACTGTATAAAAGGATGAATAGTAAAAGATTGGTCAGAGAAATGTCATTCAAGTCTCAGCTCTGAGTGTCTACTGCCTCTTGTGCATCTGTGCCATTTGGTGGATGGGTATATATGGTGGTAGCAGGATAGATGATGATCAGAATAATTACCATCATTTGTTAAATATCTGCCACATTTATACATACTATCTAGTGCTCATAGCAGTTCATAAGAAAGGACATCATTATTCCCTTTTCAAAGAAGAAACAAGTTTCAAAGGATATATAATTCAGTTTTAAACCATTTGACACATTTATTAAAAAGCAGAGCCAGAGTCAGCAGCAGTAATAAAGCACACAAGCATTCCCTTCTTCTATATTGAAATGAGGAAGAAAAGGCAACCTCAAAGGTCTGACTATGTAACTCCTAGACCCAGGCCTCCTGATATTAGAAAATACAAAAGATCAGAGCAGTAGATTAAGTGTGAGACAATTTGAGATAAATAGAATCTGAGGGTCCTGTTAAGAAAGAAATTAAGAAAGTGAGCCCCATTTAATTTATATTTCACATAATTATTGTACATTAAAACTTGCCTTTTAGTAATATTTATCTTCCATTGTCCCATTGTGACTAGCAATAATAGCCCTTGGAAAGCCTTAGAACAGCCATGTTTATTCTGGGAACAAGGAATAAGAAGTTGAGAAGCCCGTGTTTATTAGCCCAGGTGGACAGAAACTAATCTGAAACAGAAACTGACATTAGTGGGGTAGGTCAACTCCTGTCTTAAGATTTTATACCAAATGAAGGCTGTGTGGACTTTCATAAATTAACAGAAAAGGATAGAGAACGCAAAGAATTTGCTTTGGAACACACTCTCATTCCCATCACTCCATCCTACGGTATTTCTCTTCATTTAGTTTATGTCCTAAATCCTTTCTTGGAGTCCCAGTAACCTCTAGCTCCTTCTTTTACAGAATGCTTGAAGTTTGAGCTTGCACCTTTGGAAGGATGAGAAGATTCACCCCATGTAGTAGATTGGTTTTTGTGATGGTTGAACTAGTAAAAGGATATTTTTATATACACCTGTGGTGTCTTCCCAAAATTTTAAAAATATGCAGAACTCAGAGTTGGGAGGCCTGTGAGTATATTCTAAAACTGAAAAAATAAATCTCAAAAGCCTAGGAACAGAAAAAAGTAGCAGGTTTGGTCTAAGTGAATAGACCTGGAAATTGCTAAGAATCAGCATTATTGGTTTTTGTTTGTTTGTTTTTTGGTACGGGGGATCAAACTCAGGACCTTGTGCTTTCAAAGCTGGCAGCAGAACCACTGAGCCAAATCCCAGGCCTAGCATTATTAACAGCAGCAGCAGAATGATTATGGAGAGAAGGGATTAGATGTGCTTTAAAGAGACCATGAAGGGAACAAAGTTCCTATTACTCATCAAATGGGAGAAGAAGAAAATTCGAGAAAGAGCTGTGTATTCCTGATATGTCAGGTTGGAACCTAGAAAATTAATACATACTAGATTAAATTTCCAGACTTACTAAAATAGTTACCTCATAATGAACTTGAAGTGTGGATTCTAAAGTATCAGAGAAAAATCATCTTGGTACAAAACAGTGGATCTTCAAATGTAATTTGAATTGGGTCCTATGGATAACTGCAAAAAAATCACCTGTAAATTAGAATTAATTAGGCATGCTTTTGCATCTTATCATTGCTTATGTAGATTCCATGTAATTTACTTAGTTTTTAAAAATTTTAGAAATAATGCCAGTACTTTTGAAGAATATCAATCCATTATTTTATAGAATGTCCCTCAATTTTACTTATCTGATGTCTTAAAATTAGAATGAAGTTATTCATTTTTGGCAAAAAAACTACAAAGAAACTATTCAGTACTTTCAAGGTTCACAATGTTGATATGTGTTATTAGTGATGTTTACTTTGATCCTTTTTATTAAGTTTGCATCTGCCAGGAAGAACTATTATAGATTGGAGGAGACTAAGAAAAAATAACTTAATACAATGTGAATCCTGGGTAGAATTCTAGAAAAAGAACATTAGTGGCAGTAATTAGGTCAAATTTAAAGAAGTCTGAAGTTTACTTAATAATATTTATCAATGTTAATTTTCTGTCCTTGATAATTTATGGTTATAAAATATGTTAAAGTTAGGGGAAGAGGAACAAAGAAGATAAGGATGCTCTTTGTCCTATTTCAGTTCCTGCACCTCTATATTTAAAATAAATTGAAAATGGTATGTATGATACTTATATAGTGCTTATGATAATCACTTTAAGTTCAAACTATAAAATTACAAGAACTTTACTTGGTACCCGAAAATTGCAGTTTAGGAAGACATAGACCCAGACAGATGTGAGTGTTATGAGAACACTAAGATTGTACATGACTTTTAAAGGGGAGAAGAAGCTAAAGACAGGAAATTAAAGATGCATGCAAAAAAGAGTAATACTGTTTTTTTTTAATCTTTCAAAGAATTTACTTTTGAATATTGTTAATGGTCCTCTTTGGTTTTTATCCATAATATTCAAAGTTGTTCTGTGGCAGTACTTTTGTTTTTTCTTAAGAATTTTCTGATAGCATTCTAATTATAGATAGATGTGTTAGAAACTAGGGAATCCCATCTGAGTTGGTCAGACAGATACTGTGAATCAAGTGTTAATTATTCATGACTACTAGATGTAGTTTGGACAATAAGGTTAAGTAAAATTAAATTTCATTTAGAATTTAGCCATGTTCTGTTACTCTTATGAATGCTTTGCCTTTTTCATCTTCGTATAAGGATTACCTATTAATTTTTTTTTAAACCCAACAGCCATTGTAACAGTAGCTTTTGGGGGGCAATCTTTAACATTGAAGAAAGAACCTGATGTGTATTACTCTAGAATAGACTTTTGGGAAACTGAAGTACTTGAATCTGGTCTCATTAGTTAATGTAGAATTTAGCTTATTTAATTTGACAAAAGTAGAAGAATATATACAATACATGTTGCTCTGAAGACTGTCTTTGAGTTAAATTGATGGTGATAAAGTGTGTATGTTAATACTTATTTACTTAGATTCACAATTCCAGGAATCAATCACTGATGATTCATTCTTCGATGTAGTCATTTCTATATTTCTCTTTCCTGAGCAGAAAAAATACCCTCATTATTTAAAAGGTGAGAAAAGTAACAGCAATTCCCTTTCAACACGTAAGCACACACAACAAGCATGCAGTCTGCTGCAGAAGATATTTTGTTTTCATAATTAGTGCATTTTTATTACTTTTGCAGTACATAATGATTACATAGTGGAAAGTTGGTATATGTACCTAACACCTCAATTCTGTTTTTCATCACCTACCCTTCCTATCCCTCTCAGCTCCTTTGAACTCTCCATTTGCAAAAGCTGTTTTTATTTTCTTCAATTCTTTATCCCCTTTCCCTTCCCTTTTTTCCCTTCTTTTCATCTCTTTCTTTCCCCTCCCTCCATCTCTTGTTCGCCTTCCCATCTGAGAAAGATTTCCCTACTTCCTAATATTTATCTTATATTTTGCTCTGTATTTATATTATGGGTTTCTCATATACAAGAAACCTTGTGGTATCTCAGCACTTTCTTTCACTTAATATTATGATCTCAACTGAGCCACTGCTACCACCTCCTTCTGCAGCTCCTGTTGCTACTTGTGTGCTTGTTCAGTGCACACCTGGTACTGCTTTTTTTTTAAGAGTAGGAAAAATTTATTGAGGAAAAGAAAGCTTCTGTCTAAGAGAGACAGAAGGGGAAAGGAAAACTTTTCAAAGATGTTTTATACAGCAAAGCCATGTGGTGAGGCAGGTACAAAGTGGGACAAAACTATAAGACCCAATGGAAAATTACAAGGTGGGCATGAGGTGGGGCAAAACCATGGCCAACCAATACAATTACAGATACAGTCACCCAGGTAGTATTGATTAAATGGGGGTCAAGAGGGGGAGCAACTCATGTAGCAAGCTACAAGGATTTTCAGTAAGGATGGGGGTCAGGGATATTTCCTGGAAAGGCTGGGCTAAGACCTTGGCCCCTACCCAGGTGATTGATACCTATTTAGAATATCAATCGCTATTTATCCCCAGGGGAAGTACAAGGGTATAGTAGTTTCTCTTCTTTTACAATTCTGGCTTAAACTGAATGTGTCTTGATTGCCCTCCTTGTTGGCTCCTGAGGGCTGGCTACTTGAGGACGGCCCTGTCTAACTGCCTACAAGATATCTAATTAACTTACCTATTTTCAATACACCCCCTCCCCAACTGCTTTGAGAGGGCAAAGGGCGAAGACAGCTCTGGCTACTTCCACCTGAAGAGGGTTGTAGTTTTGATCAGCAGTTAGTTACTCTACAGAGGGTTTATCTAAAGGCCTTTGATAGGTGCCAAGCATTGTCATTTTGGTAGTTGCATAGCTTTTAAGTCTGGAGGAGACAAATCCAAAAGATTCAGGTCCTTGTTATGACCAACACGGAAAAATTCAAGACTGAAAACAGAGATCTTATTAATTGAAGGTGGTGAAGCAGGATGGTTCTGTGGTGCAGATTAAGAGACTTAGGGCCAGGGATTTGGCTCAGTGGTTC